TGAATAGGATATAAATCTGATTTATCATAATTGATCTTAAAACCAGATACTATACTAAAGTGTTCAATAAGTCTTAATAAAGGTTTAATAGAATATTTAGGATCCTTTAGGTAAAATATAGTGTCATCCACATACAGGCTTAATTTACAATTTTCCTTCTTTATTTCAATACCTCTAATTTCTTGGTTACTCCTAACTGCATATGCCAAGGGTTCAAGGGAGAGTGCAAACAAAATAGGGGATAGGGGACACCCTTGACGGGTACCTCTAGATAAATGGATGGTATCGGATCTAAAATTATTAACTGAAATTTGAGCTACTAGATCTTCATAAATTGCCTTAATGGCACTGAGAAATGAAGTACCAAAGTTTATAAATTCAAGTAATTTCTGTATCTACTGACAATATTGCCGAATGTATGTTATGAATTTTGCAAAAATCAATAATATTGTTTTCCGTATATTGTCAGCTATTGTTCTTTTGGGCATAAAGCCGGCTTGATCTTTATGTATATATTGATTTATTATTTGGTTTAAATGGTTGGCCAGAATTGTAGATAAAATTTTGAAATCATGGTTTAAGATCGAAATTGGTCTGTATGAAGAAGGGAGCAATCTATCCTTTCCAGGTTTAGGTATAACAACTACTCTAGCTTCAGCCCAAGATTTTGGCATTGTACCTGTTTTTGGGACTTCATTAGTTATTTTTAAAAGATGTTGTTCTAGATCTGATTTAATTTTTTTTTATAAAACTCAATAGGAATACCATCTAAACCTGGAGTTTTATTATTTTTCATCTTTGCAAGTGCTTCTGAAATTTCTTTAAGTTATTTGTTGGACTAGATATTGTTTGTTATTTTGTTAATTTGTTTTGATACTTTATAGACTCAAAGTAGCTTTGAATAGACTCTATTTTTGGATTTGAAGAAGTATATAACTATTTGTAAAATGATGAAAAAACAGTATTAATATTTTTTGATGTTGTCTGAATTGTCCCATCTATATTTTTATTGCGTGAATCAAAGTAGAGGATGCCTTTTGGGTTATCCTATACTTGAGCATTTTTATTGATTTAGGATTCTTAACTAAATATTTTTGTTTTAAGAACATTAGTTGTTTTTGCACTTTTGACATTTCCAATAATTCTATTTTTTTCTTTCTTGGTTTAATTTTTTCAAATTCTTTTTACCTCCATATTTCATATGTTTCAGTTCTAATTTCTTAATATTTGCTTGTAGTTCATCAATAACTTTTTGTCTTTCTTTAGGGAAGAAGATAAAGCTATCATGCGTCCCCTTGTTACTGCTTTAAAAGCGTCCCAAATATTAGATTGGGATGCTTCACAATTGGAATTGAATCTGAAATATTCCTTAATAGATGACCTTAATGTTTTACAAATTTCTTCATCTTGTAATAAAAGTTTATTTAAACTCCAATTGAAACCTCCTCCATTATTTTGTGTAATCTGAACTGAACATGAAACCCAAGCATGGTCAGAGATAGTACATGTACCAATATCTGCTGATAAGACTTGATTAATAAAAGTTTTAGTAGTTACTAAGTAATCTATTTGGGTATAAACACCATGTCTAGGGGAGAAATATGTGTATTGCTTTATATCAGGATTACAAATTCTCCAAATGTCACACAAATTATAAGAATTCAAAATATCTTCCAATTCAGTTTTTTAAAAACATTTCTTTTTGCTAAATGGTTTATGAGTTTTATCCCAATTCGGGTCACTGATATAATTAAAACCTCCTCCAATTAAAATTTCTCACTGCTTAAAATCTGACAGCAGTTGCAAAGTATTTTTCAAAAAAACTATCTGGTCTTCATTTGGGGCATACACAGATGCTATTGTCAACGGGTTGCCCTCTATAGTCCCCTTTACAAAAATGTAACATCCCCTAGGATCCTTTTTAATCTGTTGGCATTGAAAGGGAACATTCTTTGAAATCCAAATTGCTGTACCCCTGGATTTAGAGGATACAGGAGCATGATATTGTTGGGCAAACCATTTGGTTTTTAATATTGGTCCATCTAGCTTTTTTAAATGTGTTTCTTGTATACAACAAATGTTTATATGTTCTTTTGTCCAAAAATTTGCTGTATGTTTCAATTTTATTTTATTATTAAGACCTCTAGCGTTCCAAGTTGCTAATCCTAACCTTTGTGTCATGTAGCTCCGTGGCTAAAGTAGGCCCTACCAACTCTAAGATCAAACTCTAAATTGCAGCTCTATACAACACAAAAACAAATAACAACCAACACTTCAATTAATGCTTCAACCTATAACCACTTACCCTAACCCCTCCCTTCCTCCTAAGTAACTTCTAAACTACTCTTTCCAAAAAAAAATTCCCTATATAATTTAACTACAGAACATCACTATATTTCCCAATTTCCCCTGTATAAACAGGGTTAGAATCTAGAAAGCCGGATTTAAAATCACCCAGGCTTTTAGGGCAGCCTCTAAACAGCACCCTAGCTAGAAACTTTCCTAACCAAAGGGAGTATTTACTATTAAACTATAGATAAACTTGTTAAAACACCAACCGTCCCCCTCTCCTCCATATATAGAATTAAAGCTTTTTTACTTTATTTCTTCAGTATTTCTAACCATTGTGACAAAATATGGTCAATATCTGTAACAATAAAAAAAATCTATTTTACTCCTTGTCAATAAATTATATTAACTGGCAAAATTAGAGTTTCATAAATCATTTAGATTCTTTTAAAACTTGATCAAAATGGTTTAACCAAAATAATGAAATAACACCACTTGAATTTATTGACCATAAACATGAACATGCACCTTGAGATATGCAGAACACTTATATATACTATATTATGTAAATACACATTATTCCCAACATGTTATATTTAACATAAGTCTTAATATAGCCTTTAAGGTATTAACTCATACCCTGTTTTTCCAACAATTTAAATAATAGTAGGAACAATATAAATTTATAGTAGATCTTTACTCTTTAACCCTCTTATGCAATATCATAAGTTTTTAAATAAAATAAAAATCAAGATGAACATTGCTATATATTAGGTACTCTGTCATACCTTTCTTTATATCGCATTTCTAATCTTTACCTCAGACCTAACACATTAATTCCATTAATGTGATAAACAAAAAACCCCTACACCGAGTTACTTACAAGTCTGACCAACTCAAGTCAATGGGAGTCAGGCTACATTTCTATAAACATGTGCAACCAAATCCTTTGCATGTCTAAGGCCCCGGTCACACGGCAAAGTTGCCGCAGGAGAGGCACGGATGGTGGGCAGATTATCCGGGCGCGATCAAACCCCAACATCTGGGAAGTGGAGCGCACCTGTGGCTTACCGTCAACAATGCGCTTTTAAAAAGTCATACCTCCAAAGTACTAGTAAACGTTTGCCATGGGCTGCCTCCAGACTCCCGTGGTGTGATCGCGCCGGTGCGCGGCATTCCCCTCCGGTCCCTCATTTACCCGCCGGCGCCAAGGGAAGGACCCGTGGTGTGCCGCCGGCATGTCTGATCGCGTAATCGCGGCTCAAACTGCGCCAGGGCAATTAGCCACACACACACCCGCACGATATCCGGCCCGTGTGACCAGGGCCTATGATTTATTTTTTTTAGGCTGTAATGCTATGCAATTTACTTGGGATTAAGCCTGATTGAACCCAATGGGACATTTCCAAATAAACAAGAATAGGATTTGGCTTCACAGTCCACTAAGTTCAATAAGGCTTGCTCCCAAGTATGTATAGGATTGCAGTCTTTGAGGATTGGGACAGTGTCGTACAGTGGTCAGAGCACTGGATTGAGGAGACCTGAATTCATATTCCCATTTTGCAAATGAAGATGACTAGGTTACGAGGCCAGTCACTCTCTTGGTTTAGCCTACCTCACAAGGTCGCTGTAAGGATAAAATGGAAAACCAGTGAACCAGGCATGTGACCCAGAGATCCTTCAAGGAAGGTTGGGTTAAAAGCTGTGATAGATAAAACTCTATTGAACTCAAACTTTCAAGTAAAATTTAGTAGGATTGGGCCATCTTGCAGAACACAACTGAGGCTTGAATCTTAAATATGCAGCGTAATCCCAAACATGTCTACTCAAAAGTCAGCCCCACTATTTTCCATTGTGCTTACTTCCAAATTGGTATACATAGGATTGTACCCATACTTACTAATAACTAACGTAAGCAAGGCTCTCAACAATAAGTTGTTTAGGAGGTCCTTAATTCATAGAGTTGCCCTAAATTGGAAGTGACTTGATGGCACTTAATACGCACAGTTTCCAAAGAACTAGAAACATGCTTAAGATCACAACGAAGCAGTGTGTCCTACTGAATTTGGTGGAATTTTATTCAAAATAAGAGCAAACAGGAATCCAATCTTACAAATGGATAACAATTTTTGCAAAATAGCCTAATTTTCTTAAGTTTTTGGAACCGAGAAGAATCCTGATCTACAAGACTATTTTAGACCAATTTGGGTGTGTTTAGCCAAAGAACTTCGCTGTAAACCTTTTATCTGGAAGCAACTCCCACTGACACCCATGTAATCTGAGAGTATTTAGCACCCTGGGGTGTTCTATGTAACTCACAAGACCATCTGATACTATAACAGAGCAGGCATACATAATTATTCCAGTCAAAGTCTATCAAACACCATAGGCTTAGAATGGAGTAACTCTGTAGAGGAGTGCACTCTAATTCCCTCTTCAAGAAACAAACTTCCAGTGGTCTCCATGGTGGACATAATGGGAGGTAGTAAGCTCTGTGTGGGGCAGGGCTTCATTTGAATGATGCAATTCAAACGGGCCAATTAAAAAACCAAAGGGTCTAAGAGGGCGTGGAAAATGTCGCCTTCCACCTCGGGGCTTTAAAAAGGGCTCCATTTTGTGCCGGCCGCCCGGGAGTAGGCGGTGGCGGCGGGATATCGATCGTGTCCTCCGCCCTGTTGAAGGGAAAGAAGTTAAGGAGGGCAAAGAAAAAAAAGTGCTGTTTTCTACGTAACCTTTAAAAAAAGGGGGGGGGGCCCCTCAGCGGTAGGAGACAGAGCAGAAAAGCAACCGCGGCTTATCTACCCTCAAGGTCCAGTCAGCCGCAGTAGCCGCTTGACGGCAGGCGGCGGCGCTGGAGAGAGTAAGCGAGAGGCCCCGCCACGGCGTGAGGAGAATGAAGCCAGGAGGAGCCGCCTCCACCACCACCACCACCACGAGCAGCAGCCAGGGAGCTGAGGCGGCCCCTTCAGCCGCCGCCAAGGCGGGATTGGCGCCGGTGGGCTGCGAGGCGGCGGAAAAAGTGGTCCATACCCGTTCGCAGGTGCTGTTTTCGGGCGGCGGCACGAAAGCGCTGGGCGACGCCTTCAAGCTTCTGGTGCCCAAGTCGACGGAGTTCATGAGCTCCGACACCGAGCTGTGGAACTTCCTGTGCAGCCTCAAGCACCAATTCTCGCCCGTCATCCTCCGCAGCAAGGACGTCTATGGATACGCCTCCTGCCGGGCCGTGGTGCCGGACATACCCCGAGGCTTGGCGACGGCGCGTAGAAAGTGCCGGCCGTGGAGGAGAGCCGCCGCCAGGGGGAGGCGGCTGCGAGTAGCTGCAGCTGCCCGAGGAGGAGGCGGCGGCGGCGCAAAGAGGGCGCCGAAGAAGCGCTGCGTTCAAGAGGCGGCGGTGCCTGCTGCTCGTCCTCCTCCTCCTCAGACTACGCCGTGCGAAGTTGCCTACCCCGGTTCCCGCAGCGGCAGCAGCCCCGAACCGAACTGGAGGGGACGCGGGCGCCCCCTGCCTCGTTGCCCTCGTCTCTCTCCGCCCTTCCTTGGGCTCCTCCTCAGGGCAGGTTCCCTGAGGAGAGCTGGAGAGCGGCCGCCCCTCGCCTCGCCGCTTTCCCCACCATCAAAGTCCGAGGGAACGTGTGGAACCGGCGCAGCCTGGAAGCCAACAGGCGCAGGGCGCAGCGCATCCTGCGAGTCGATCTGGCACCCGTCGTGAGGATGAGCCGCTTCCCTCTGGCCAGATACTGAGGGAGGCGTTTCCCGAGAAGGAGCCACGAATAAATAAGCCTGTTTCCTCTACGGATTTTGTTTTTTTTTGGGGGGGGGGGGGGGCAAAGACTTGGACAAACTCCCTCTGGTGTGGAGGCGGACAAAGAGAGGCAGATATCAGCCCCTCGTTTACAAATGTTTTGGTCTGGATCGTGTCCTCCTTGATTCAGTTAACTGCACTTTAGGACTGAGGCGGAAGGACGTTTCCCCTTTTCTGTCGCTCTGCTCTTTACACGGAGATTTAAAGGTGTTCCTCAGCCGGGTTGCCTACGGGCTTGATTATGATCCAACAATAAAGACTGTTCTCCTTACCTGGGCTCGGGAAGCTACATAGCATGAAGATATTTTTCCTTGTCTCCACCCCCTCCCCTTGGACTACCTCTCTTGCGTGGAAGTCTGAGAAAAATAACATTTGTTTTCTCTTTCAAAGGAACTTTCGGCTGACACAAATACCAATTGAGCTTATTTCCCTTCAAAATGTAGCCAATGGGTTATTATGTATGACTATTTTGTGCTCTTGCACTGTGTGCTCAGGGTTGCTTGAATGCCAAGTGTTTCAGATTACTGACTGAAGCTTTGACCAAGGATACTCCAGGAATGAAGACTTAGAGCCCATGGCTGATTTGATGGTGCAAAATGTTTCACTCCTTCTGCTTTGTTTTGTAAGAGTTGTTTTTGACCTACGCATTTTCAATATAATGGTAAAATGTTTTGTATGTAAAAGTTTTATAGATAAACTGAAGTGATATTTCTGTTACAGCTTCTAAAGATATTTGTATTGGAAACATCATTTTGATATAACTTTTGCTTTAAAGATGAGGTTACCAATTTAAGTGACAATTAATAAAAGCTAAAGATCAAGAATCTGTATTTGAAGTGGTTATTTGCAAAGATGTACCTTGTCTGGAGAGGATTTCTTGATATGTGTTAAAAGATTCACAGATACTGTTCTAATTGACTAGTTCTGTAAGGTCACTGATCTATGTATGCATTTAAAATAACAAGGGGGAAATGATTTGCTGTGGCCCATGGCAATATTTTGCAGTTGCTAGTATGCACTACAAGTGTAAGTGGGATGCTTTCCAAGTGTCATCTAAACAATTATGAGGCTAGTCACATATTAGTCCCCAGTTCCCAGGAAGTCTTGTGAAAGGAAATATCAGTTCATTCAGTTTGTCAGTTAAATCTGCTTCAGGAGTAAAATGACATGTGACCTCAGTGGAGGATCATTCTTGAGAGCTAATGCAAGTTCAACACTTGTAGAACAGGAAATCTCACTAATTTTTGTGCACATTTTTTAAAAAAAGTATTTTAATCTCTTGGTGCCAATTGTGGGAAATGCAGGAGTGTCAGAAGCAAAAGGATACATTTCAGCCACATTCCTGCAACACAGTGTTTTATGGTCCATTGATATCAAAACGTGTCATGCCAGCAACAAGAAGCAAAAAGGTGGAAGTCATGCAATCTTATATTCTAATAGCCAAGTTGGCCAATCTTTGGATACTTAAATCCAGTGACTGAAGCTGTGAATAGGCCAGACAGATCTTTCTACAAACTTGAAAAGAGCCCTAGATTGGCAGAGAAATGTGAAATCTAAAAAAAACCTTCATTGGGGACTTTAAAACATCTGAAAATGATAAAAGGAGCGCCTGTAGCTTTAAGCAACAGATTTCCTCAGTGACTGTTGCTTGGCAACCACAGTATTTCAGACTGGGTTTCAGTTAGTAAAAGGCAGGGGGGGAGGCAGGACCCTTTCCAAGCCTATTTTCACCTTCACTTATTAGGGCCAGACTGACTAGGGTTGCCAGCTCCAGGTCTGGAAGTTCCTGGAGATTATGGGGTGGAGTTTGAGGAGGGGAGAGGCCTCAGCTGGATATAATGCCATAGAGTCCACCTTCCAAACCAGCCATTTTCTCCAGGGGGACAGAGCTCTGTCATCTGGAGTTCAGTTGTCATTCTGGGAGATCTCCAGGAGGTTGGCAACCCTCTGCCTGGAGGCAACCTCTGGGTGACTTTATACCACCTGACTTGCATGACTCAACTAGGCCTGTCTGCTTGCTACTGTTCAACAGCAGCTACCCTATGAAAGCCAGTGTGGTGCAGTGGTTAGACCTTCAGATCAGGGTCTGGGAGACCCACGTTTGAGTCCTCATCTTGCTTTGAAGTTGACTGGGTGATTTTGAACCAATCACATACTTTCAGACTAACCTACCCCACTGGGTTGTTGTACGGATAAAAAGGAGAGGGGAATGTAAGCTGCTTCGTTCCTCACTGTGGAGAAAGGTTGAGGTATAAATGAAGTAAATAATGTAGCTGAAGATGGGAGGCAAATAAAAGGTAGGTTGGTGAATGGCTGAGAGTGAGAATGGGGCAGGGAACTATGGCACCACACAACTGGGCCACAGTTTTCCTATGTAGAGGCTGCTGGAAAGGGGAGAAGAAACGTTTAAGACAGAAGGGCAGATAAAGGTAGATAGGGTTGTCAACTCCATCTTAGGAAATTCCTGGAGATTTGGGATTGGGACCTGGGGATGGTGGGGTTTGAGAAGGGGAGGGACCTCATAGGGGTGTAATGCTAAAAAATTCCACCATGCAAAGCAGCCATTTATTCCTGGAGAACTTGAGTTGCCAACCTCCAGGTGGGGTCTGTAGATCACCCACAATTACAACTGCTGTCCAGATGATAGATCAGTTCCCCTGAATAAAAGGCTGCTTTGGAAGGTGAATTCTATGGCATTATACCCTGCTGAGGTCACTTCACTCCACAAACCTTGCCCTTCCAAGGCTCCACCCCCAAATGAATTTCCTAACTTTGAGCTGGCAACCCTAAGGGAAACTGATCTCTTTATTGGGAGATCTATTGTGATTCCACAAGAAAGAAGCTACTTGAGCCAAAAAGTCTAAGGCCAACATCAGATAGAGCTGGATATCATCAGCATATTGATGACACCCAAGCCCACACCTCTGGGCAATCTGGGCGAGGGGGCGCATATAAATGTTAAACAACATTGGGGACAACACAGCTCCCTGGGGCACCCCACATTCAAGGGGGTGCCTTCGGGACTGCTGGTCCCCAATTGCCACCCTCTGTCCCTGACCTTGGAGAAATGAGATGAACCATTGAAGACCAAGCCCCTGAATCCCCACGTCGGCGAGGTGGCGGGCCAGCAACTGGTGGTCGACCGTGTCGAGCGCAGCTGTAATGATTCCTTGTTTTATATGTGTGTGTCTCTCTTTAAAAGTTTGGTTGCATGGCTGTGTGATAGTCTAGAGTAGTTGAAACAGGCAAGTGTGGTGTGATTGGTGATTGACAGAGGGGGAGGGGTTTTGGAAGTGGTTCTGAGTAGATGAATATGTATGTCTGTCAAGAGTGACAGTTACAGGCTTGACAGTTGTTGAAGACAGTTGTTTATTTAGTTCGTTCTGAGGTCTGGGAGAGAGACAGTCTTGTGTGTGATACAAGAGTTAAATTCTGTGTATGAAGAAAAGTTGAATGTATAAGGAAACAGTAAAGTAAAGTTTAAGGAAACAAAAGTTATATGAAAGTCTGAGTGACAGACTGGAGTGAAATAAGAAACGTATATGACCCTGAGTAATGAGTTACAAAGTTACTTGAAAGATCCCTGTCAGAAAGGGAGCAGATCTTGTGTGAGACACAACACAATTGTTAAAATTATTCACATTACTGGTTACATTGTTCTACACTTTTATTTATGAGTTATTTTAATAAATCTTATTTTATTTACGTATACCAGCTCTGAAAGGAATACTTCCTCAGGACCACATTAGTTCCTAGAAAGCCTTAAACTCGACCTACCTACCCAGCAATAGAACGAGTAAAAGCATAAAGGTTTGGAAATCCTTTTAAAATTTCCTGGTGGCAGCCGGATATACCCAGTAGAACAAAACATAAAGAACACTTTTAAAGGGAAACCAGACCTCCCCAGATAAGGGGTCGTCACAGCAGCCAACAGATCTAAGAACACCAGTGCCGCCACGCCACCTCAATCCACATGCCTACGGAGATTGTCAGTCAGCGTGACCAGTACCGTCTCCGTCCCGTGGCCCGGGCGAAAGCCGGACTGGAAGGGATCGAGGACGGAAGCCTCGTCCAGGTAGCCCTGTAGCTGTGATGCCACTGCCCTCTCAATAAGTTTGCCTAAATAGGGCAAATTGGAAACAGGCCGATAGTTGGCCAATTCGGCTGGGTCCAAAGATGGTTTTTTCAGGAGAGGACGGACCATCGCTTCCTTGAGTGCTCCGGGGAACCGTCCCTCTGCGAGGGACTTATTGACAATCTCCCGCAGTGCACCTCGAAACCAGTTATGCTTTTCTTTAATCAAATTTATTATATTGGAATTGATTAGGTTGATTGTAGTTTGCAGTCAATCCAATTGGTTTAGCTGCAATAGGGTAGGTAAATTAGATAGCAGTTTAATTAGCTGGAGTAGGCAATATGGGGTATTTAGTTAGACAAAGGGTCAGTGATGAGCCAGATAGATCTTGTAGTTATAGCCTCTGCTGATTGTTGGAGAGTGTTGGGGTTGATAACACTAATGAAGGGGGGCCATGCAAGGGTCAGGGATTCCAGTGATTATGGGGAGGGGGAGATATAGCGGTGGGCGTAGGTGCTCTTCCTTTAATTGGAATGGAAGAAATCAGAGATATGGAAATGCTCAAATTTCTTCCCATCTACATCCCATCCCAAAGGATGTTGGTTGTGGGGCTAGGAAAATGTACCCTTCTCCGACACTGGTGTTATTCAATGCCAGGTCTATCAACAGTAAGACCGATGTGCTCCGTGATTATCTCATAGAGTCACAGGTAGACCTGGCCTGTGTGACCGAGACCTGGGTAAGAGATGGCGAAACTGTCACCTTGAACCAGTTTACTCCACCTGGGTTCTTGGTCTTTCACCAGTCATGGACCTATGGGTGGGGGGAGGCGTGGCTTTGCTTATCCGTGAATTTTGTTCCTTCAGGTTGCTTCCCACCCCAACAATCTCTGGCATTG